TGACCCAGACGATTGTGCCAAGTGGAAGCCGAGGCACGAGCGGAAAGAAACGCTGATGGAGACGAACTAGGTAATGAAAGTGTGTATAGTCCCCCCGAACTATTGCCCTGAAGAAGTATTTCCTTGGTATTGATATCCTTCACAACAAAAAAGGAGGGGTGAAACTAAAAAAAGACTTTATTATCGGATGCAAACTTCTGAACAGATAATAAAGAATTAGACAAACGTGGAACGTGAATTATATCAGACAATGTAAATGATCTAGAAGGGGTATTAAAAGAGGCATGGCCAACATGACTAATAGATAAACCCATACCGTCACCAACACGTAAAGTGTCATTACCAGTGTACTTCTCCGATGTAGAAAGGGAAGCGATGTTTGGAGTTGCATGATTTGTGGCTCCATTTTCTGGAACCCAAGTATGAGAATTTGATGAGGTTTTAGCAACTAAACCATTCTGAAACACCAAATTATCCTGAGAACCCGGAGTCCCTGAATATCGCCAAAAACAGTTGACTCCCGTGTGACCGAAACTTTTACAAATTTGACACGGATCATTATAGCGCCAAAAACAATTGGCTCCCGTGTAACCAAAACGTTTACAAATTTGACATGGATCATCATAGCACCAAAAACAATTGACTCCCGTGTGACCAAAACGTTTACAAATTTGACACGGATCATCATAGCGCCAAAAACAATTGACTCCTGTGTGGCCGAAACCTTTACAGATTTGACACGGATCATCGAAGCCACGTTGCTGACCTCCACGGTAATTAAGGTTGCCACCATAGCGCTGCATCTTCTTGATTTTATGAATCACAAAACCCTAGCTAACTGATACCAGATGAGAACTGATTGTATTATATTTTCTGAACTTGATTACAATGAGATCAGATGATGTGAATATATACAATAAAGAGTCACAGTGTGATAAGGATAAGAAGTAGAGAGTCACAGTGTGACAAGGATAAGAAGTTCTAAACAGACTCAGATACATAGAGTCCTAATAATAACTACTAAACCTATGCATACGTTCTCAATGATTTTCAGCTCAAAAAATCAATGCTCCACTCATCAGAGTTTGATCTTAAGATCACCCATTTAGAATGGTAATATGTATTATCACACTACATAATAACATGCAAATAACAATAAAAGAATACACATAAAACATTAATAACATTTAAAGTTAATATTTAAAAAATTGACATAAGTTGCAAAAGGCTAACAAAAAGTTATTTTCAAAAATTGTAAGCCTTGCATTATATCGAAATATAAAATTAAAAAATATATGATGTGGCAAATTATTTTGTTTGCACCACGGTCCAACACATTGTCGTGAAGCAATTAAGTGGCATCAGTGCCAAACACCTTGTGCTCAAATGACATGTAGTGACCTCTCTTATATGGGAGGTCATGAGATTGAGCCTCAGTGGAGGCGTTGTTGACTCTTTGTGCTTCAATATGTTGAGAAAGTAGTTTGAACATATAATACGATATAATAGAGTCAGTAGCATCCCAAAAAAAAAAAAAAACTCATCCAAAATTAAAGGTCAATGGTTCGCTAGAGGTTGTAGCAGGCAAATCGCTCGGCAGAATTGATTCTTCTTGTTCTATTAACATGTAATTAAAACTACTAAATATTTTACAATTTATTGTTTATTGTTTTATTTACATGACTTAACAATTCTGATTTTAGAATAATATATTTAAGAATTTGTTTCTTGATTAATTATTTATTTATAGAGTTTCTAAATAAATTCTTCGGATTTTATAATTATGTCTTTTAGAAATTATATATTCATCTGGGTTTGAGAAGCGTAAAAAGGAAAGAAGTTTGTTTCTTGATTAATTATTTATTCATAGAGTTTTTAAATAAATTCTTAGGATTTTATAATTATATCTTCTAGAAAATATTTATCTGGGTTTGAGAAGCATAAAAAATGAAAGAAGAATAATTGAGCAACTAACTCAATCTTATAAGGAAGCTCTTGAAAAATGTATTACAAAAGAAACTCAAATAGATGTGCAAAAAGATGATGCCGAGGAAAAATTGTTAATTACATGTTAATCTTCATATAGACGATCAAGATGATTGTGAGATTGTAAAAAATTTAAATGATAGTGTGCACAATAATGATGGGTATCACTGTGACAATGAAAATAATAAGAATGTTGATAGTTGTTTAGATGGTTTTGGTCACAATGATAAACCGATTCGTTTTTATTTGACATATATGATCCTAGAAATTGGGACGCCCTTTATTCTAAATTAATAGATATTCTTGTGAAAGATGATCTTAAAAGAGATTTATTAATAAATAAATGTCCTAAAGATAAATTATTTTGCGTCTAAATGTGCACGGCGTATGTATCAGGAAGTCAAGATAATTGAATCCACCATAGATAGTTGCCAGCTGTCCTATTCTTTCTTCCTTCCTTCATTCTGTTATACATGCAGTTAGAAGTAGCAATTAGAAGTAGAAGCAGCAGTTAGAAGTAGTTAAGCAGTTTCCTTCTTTCCCTTTGTGTATAAAAGCTTTGTAATCTTCTTTGCTCAGAAACTAATGAAACAGTTCTCCCTTCCTTTCTTTTACACTCTCTCCTTTTTCCTAAAAGTATGCCGACTTTTTAAATAAAATTTTAGATGTATTTTTATACAATAATTATATTTTGAACTTTTGACACAACTTTTTAAACAATTGTTATTTATATATACAAATTACTTGAAAAAAGGGGCCCGATTTAAGATATTGTACAAGACTCCAATTTTTATTAGAACGGCCCTGATTCTGTGTCAAAATAATGTACATTACGTGTTTAGAATAATGAAATATCTGGGGTAACATAATGTATATTATGTTTTAAAATAATGTACATTATGCTGTATAATAATGTACATTATATTTTAAAATATTGTACGTTATAAGTTATAAAAATGTGTATTACAGATGGATGCATAAAAAAATAAAATTAAACAAAACGATATTATTTTTGGACCGTGGCTGCGTGGACCACGGTCCGTGCCATAACTATTGATATGATATGGCGTGGTGGACTAAAATCCGGACCCCTTCCAAGGGGATCGACGTACGATAGTTTATCAAAAACCTGGCTAGTCAAACAAAGACTTGGTTAGTCAACAATAGAATTTATTTGATATGGATGTAACAAAATTAGATTTATCCTTTTATAATTAAAACCCTAAAATGTTATATGTCCTATTACAATTGAAAGAAAACACAAATAATTTATTTAACTTTGTTCATAAGGTAGTCTAATAACCAGAATAAGATCTATAAGTTGTCTAATCATGAAATTAATTCAATTCTTTCCAAAAGGTTGGAATTCAATTCCAAGACCAACAAGCTAAGCTTGAGAGAAAATGTATAACTTAACGAACAAGAAAGAAAAATTCTTAAAGATAAAATCTTAAAATAGAAGCTCGATCAAAATAAAGTCAGCGTAATCTAGTATTCTTAAAGTAGTGAAAACTTTTCTTGAGCAATCACATGGCCAATAAATTAAGAATATTAGATGGCAATAATAATAATAATAATAATAATAATAATAATAATAATTCTATATATAATAAAGCAATATGGTCTTGTGAAAATTAAATGGTGATAATCAACATTTAATTTTCACAAGACCATAATAATATTGTTATTGTGAAAATTAAATGTTGATAATCAACATTTAATTTTTACAAAATCATAATAATATTGTTAATTATAATAACAATAATAATAATAATAATAATAATAATAATAATTGCAATAATAATAATAATGATAATAATTTCCACGGACAGTTTCTAATATATATATATATATATATATATATATATATATATATATATATATATATATATATATTTATTTATTTATATTTCAATTTCTACTAGCAAATTATTGTGTGAACGATGATCCACATAACTGTATGGATCATGAATATCAAATACATTTTTAATATATTAAAAATACATTATTTTTATATTGAAAGTACCTTACATACATATATAATGTACCCTTAGTATATTTAAAATATACTTTTTATTGCATGCAACCCCAAAGTTCATAAGTTTGAAATTAATATATGGCATAGCTAGGCAGCCTAATATTTAAGATTGTTGATGTGCATATTGAGGACTACGGAGACAAAGATACGTTATTCATGGATTCATCGGATACTATCCAATAACACTCTCCAACTTAATTGACGTGAAGTGGCTTAGTAACATTAAGATTATATTCTCGAATTATTAGTTCTCATCTTTTATTGATTACACACTTAATTCGATAGTATTTGGAAGAAAAAATCAATGTTCGAACTAAGATTGTGATTTTGGTCTTTAAAGGTCAATTGTATGTTGCTACATCTAGAGTTAGAAATCTCAAAGGTCTAAAAATTTTGATCCGTGGTGACTCTAAAATTGTAATTCAATTACTATTGTAGTTTACTAAGTTCTTAAAAAGTTGTAATATTAAATACTATGTACTAATTTTTTAATATAGTTTAAGATTTGTAGTAATCACCCACCTTAAATATTATTTTAATTGTAAATATATTTATGTTCATAATTTTATCATAGGAATTCACACATAATAATTATTAAATAACAAAAATTTTATATATGAATAAACCTCATATAGAGTATATTTTTATAACATATTTTCCGTGCATCGCACGGGACAAATACTAGTAATAATAATAATAATAATAGTAGGGCGGAGTGGTCAGGTGACACCTCTGTGCTTTCTTTGAGGGAAGGTTACAGAATTGATTCTAGAGAGTGATGGGATATTGATTCTTTGAGCTACTTGTAAGAGCTGTGTGACACAGATAAGAATTAATTTTAACGGACTCTGAACCCTCATCCATGGTATAATTTGTCCGTGAAAGTTGAGTTGGTTGATGAATTCCATTATATTCCGGCTATTTAAACTGCAGATCGATCGAAAGAGATGAGAGCGAGAAGTTGGTTGTGATAAAAATGGATACCATAATGATGGCACCCCCGAAAGACTGTTCCGTATACGTGAGAAGAATGCACGAGAAGAACATTTCGCCGATGCCATTTATCGGCCTTTACGTAGCAGCCGCCTCTACCCTCTGCTCCATTGCAATGCTCTTAAACTCAAACGTAGCCTTCTACAACTCCCTTAGCGATCTCAATCTCCACTTGTCTGGCAACTTCTTCGCTCTCAATGCAACTTGGTTAACACTATTAGCCGTGGCCACAAAGCTCACAGCCGATCTCACAACTCCCATGTTGTCTTTCGAAGATAACCTGACCAAAATCAGTGGCACCGTTTTCTTCGTTCTGGCCATGGGCAATGCTTTCACCTCCTTGGGCTCTAAGAACGACAAAGATATTCTGAACAATATCACGGCTTTGAGCATATTGGTCATCACCTCCCTTGTGGATTTATGCATCCAACTAAGCACCGGCGCACTTGACTTCTGGTTATTCCCAGAAATCATCTACGCCATTGTTTTCTTGTGCTTCATGATCATAACACTTGTGTGCTCGGCTCTAGCGGTTCCAGCAATCAAGAAACGCGCAGATTCCAAGTATCAGAAGTTGGGGAAACAGATGGAATCTGGGCAACAACGCCATCCCCATACGGTTGAAGAGCTAAGATTGAGCATTTCAAAGTATTGGGTCATGGCAGTCTCTGGGAGCCCAAGATTTCTTATGGAAAGGTTGGTGACCTTCGTTTTCATGAGCATCATTTGCATGTTTTCTTCCCTAGTTTCATTTCTAGGGCTTCGAAGATACGCATACAAGTTTTGTGATAAGCTATCTGATTATAAGTGGTCGGTGTATTTGATATTGCTTTCTCAATATTTCGCTGCACTACAGTCTCTCACCGTAGTTATAATCCTCTTGATTGGTGTGGTGGGTTATAAGTACGAGGATAATGGGATCAAAATCAGTATAGAAGAATTCACAATCGAATCCTATTGGACTGAAAAATTGGTTGAATGGAGACATAGTCCAATACCTATGAGATTTAAGAGACGCGCAGTCAGAAAACTTCTCCACAACGTGAAAGCCTTGGTCTTGACTTTGTTCATACAACTTCAATCTGCAATTATCATCTGGTGCAAGTTCTGTTATGTTCTCGCCTTTTATACCATGCTCCCATTAGCATTTTTAGTTAATCTTTTAGGTAGGCTAGTTAATCATTATTTAGGCAACTTTTTCTACAAAAATGAAGTTTCAAATGATCCGGCGGGAATACTAGAGATACATCTCAACAGCTTTGTGATACTACTCGAAGGAGAAAAACAACTTCCAAAAGAACTTTTGAGAAAGATTATTAGTAAGGGGAATAAAAATGTTGGGATGGGTAGGATGCAACGCCCACAAAATCTAATTAATCTTCTCCATCAAAGTTTCTCTTTTAGCGGGGTAGTAGAATTCGATAGCAATCTAGTTCCAAGTCTATTATCTAGTGAAGAACCTCCGAACTGTTGGACACTTCCAGTTGTAACACTAGCAAGTATTATCATTGCACTTCCAAACATCGCAAGTCAGCATGTTGATTGGTTGGTAAGCAGTGTTGATGAAGGCCTCCGCTATGCAAGCCTTATAGATGTCTTGGATGACAAGTGTGGGTCGAAAAACATTAAAAATGCAGCAGATGTTGTGTGGGTGGGAGTTGAGCTTCATAAGAAGTGGTTTGACATAGATCTTGGGAGACTATCTAGGGAAGTAAATTCTGCAAAGGAGATTATTCAAGTTCTTGCTAATGAAGCTGAAAAGACTGTTATGAAGTTTAGCTCTATAGAAAACAAAATTCTAGTAGAAAATCCTCTATTCTGGCCTGCAAATGTTTTAGCTGCTAACTCAATGTATAGAATTAGCCGAACCATTCTATTATCGCATCAAAATGTTGAGTATGAAGCTGAAGATTTGTTTAAGAAGTTAAGTTGCACAATTGCAGACATACTGGTAGCTTGTCTTATCAATTTGCCTCACTTGATAGCTACCAAGTACAAATGCAATACCATTGAAGAAAGAGAGAACAACGTTCGTGATGCAGCTATCCTTCTTGGAGAAACTGAAGATATTTTAAGGCATTTTGAGGAGTGTCAGCTTTCAAGTCCTAGTCAACCATTATTCATTGACGAATGGCGTCGATGGATGGAGAGAGAAGATCCAACAGTTTCCGCTTCAGCAACAAGCAATGAGGATGTAGTTGTTCAAGTGTATCTTTGATTTATATGTGTAATGCTAATGTGTACTTTCTTTCATGTTATTTCAAATGCGGACTTGATTTGTATGTGTACCTGTGTGGTTCTTTTATTTAACTTCAAATATGTAAAGAATAAGACCACTGTCAAATAATTTCTAACTTGTGGTCTAGTTTTGTTAGTCAATGTCAAGTATAACACGCAAGGAAGTCTATTTATTTATATATTTATTCCAATTGCATATTTAAACATGTTTCCATGTCATAACAACATTTATTAAGCATAATTCGTGGCTAGTCGACTCGGTCTGCTTTGGAATTGCTGGCACGTCTTACAGCTCCTCGCGTAGTCCGCGCACTCCTTGGCCATATTAGGCAAGAAGTACCGCGGTAGGATGGCTCTCAGGGCCATAATGTAGGCCCTCTAGTGAGCTGAGCAGGTCCCTTCGGGTATCTCTTCTATGACCGACCTTGCCTCTTCGGGGTATAGGCAACATAATAGGGCGTCATTGTAAGACCTCTTGTATAACGTGTCGTTGAGGACCAGATAGGGGGGGGGGGGGGCTTGTCTTTTCACGAGCTTGGCATCGACCATGTCCTAGGGCAGCGTACTTGTTTTCTTGTACTCCTTGAGGTAGTCCAACCAATAGGGGGGTCAGATTTGCACGGGGAAGACCGGGTTGGCCTCCAAGCTTGACCACTTGAGGTCTTCTACTCGGGCTATCATGTCCGCGTTTACGTTTTGCTTCCAGGGTACTTGCAAAACTTCGTGGTTGATCAACTGCCCTAGCAATTGTAGAACCACGTTCCAGTACCTCCTCATTCTCTTATCGTTGGCCTCAAACTCGCCTGTGACCTGCCCTACCACGAGCTGGGAGTCACACATGATTTTGAGCTTCTCGGCCCTCATGTTCAGCGCGAGTTGGAGTCCCCATAGGAGCGCCTCATACTCGGCTTCGTTGTTGGATAGCTTGAAGTTGAAGAAGAGGGCGTAGTAAGGCTCCAGGGCGTTGTGGAGAGGGTTCACCACTCTTCTTCCTCGTCTCAGACTTGTTCTGTGCCCTCCCGGGTGGTGCACTCGACTATAAAATCAGCCAGCGCCTGCCCCGTGATGGCAGGTCTCAGTTTGAAATGGATGTGGAACTGGCTCAAGCGCATAAACCACCTGACCAATCTGCTGGCCGACCCCGAAGCCCTCAACACTGAGTCCAGGGGCTGATTGGTGAAGACGTGCACAGGGTGGGCCCGAAAATAGTGGCTGAGTTTCTTGGCTATAGCGTCCAACGCGAATTTGGCCTTCTCGGTTGGTGTGTACCTGATCTCGGCCCCCATAGTAGACGAGCCGCTAAACTTCCTCGTCCTCCCAGACTAGCATGGAGCTGACCACGACAAGCGAGATACCAAGGTACAAGTACAAGACCTCCCCCTTTGACGGGTTTGGACAGGGGGGAAGAGACATCAGGCACGTCTTGAGCTCTTCAAAAGATTTTTGGCACTCTTGGGACCACTCGAACCCCTTAGACTTCTTGAGCACCCCGAAGAAGGTTAGAGACCTCTCAGCCAACCTGGAGAGGAAACGGCCTAGGGCTGCAAATCGACCATTGAGGCGTTGGACCTCCCGGAGGGACCTCGTAGGTTCCATGTCTAGGATGGCCTTGACCTTGTCGAAGTTCGGCTCTATGCCCCTCTTCGAGACCATGTACCCCAAGAACTTACCGCCGTGTACCCCAAAGCTGCACTTCTTGGGGTTCAACCTGAAATTAAAACAGTTCGTTATTGAAAATACATCGGATAGGTCATCCACATGGGAGTTGGCTTCGGGACTCTTTGCGATCCTGTTTGAAGACATTGGCTACCATTCGGGTATATGTAACCCCCGAGTTCTTGAGCCCGAATGCCATGACCTTGTTGTAGTAGATCCCCTCCGAGGTAGTGAAGGCTGTCTTCTCCTCGTCATCCTCGTGCATGAAGATTTGGTGGTACCCCCGGAAGGTGTCCAGAAAGCTCATGAGAGCACACCCTGCTGTCTCGTCCACCAACTGATCAATGTTGGGCAGTGGAAACGGGTCCATAGGGCAGGCCTTGTTAACGTTGGTATAGTCCACACACATCCTCCAGATGGGTGGCTTGGGGGCAAGGACCACATTGGCGAGCCATTCGAGGTATAGGACCTCTCTGATGTGCCTTGTCTCGAGGAGGGTGTTGATCTCCTTTTCCACAAACTCTCTCCTCTTGGCAGAGAGGTACCTCTTGTGTTGCTACACTGGCTTGACCGAGGGGTCTATGACTAGCTTATGGGTGATGACGTCTTAGTTGAGGCCCAGCATGTCCTCGGGACCCCACGCGAATATCTCCTTGTAGCTCTGGATGGTGTCGATGATCCAAGCTCGGAGCTTGGCCGGGAGGCTGACCCCCACCTTCACAACACAGTCAGATTGGCTGAGGTCTAGGACGACCTCCTCGGTTACCACCACGAGTTCAGCCCATGATCGGCCTTCTTCTTCCTGCAGCTGGTCTTCTCGGTTATGGTGTGGTCCTGCATGTCTCTTTTACCTATCTAACGACACGCCCCTAGGTAGCAGCTACGACACACCTTCTTCTCCCCCCGGGGTAACTCCAACCCCTGTTGGTGTTGGAAACATAAGGCACAGGTGCTCCATGGAGATCACGCACCTGAGGTCTTCCATGGCGGGTCGACCTAGGATTATGTTGTGGGCGAAGCTTTTTGACCACCACGAATCTACCTCCCACTTCTTGACATGGGGTGGGGTACCTATCTCCACCTTGAGATTGATTGGGCCCTCTGTCTCGATGGATTCCCTCGTGAACAAGGATATGGGGGTCCTCATCGGCCCTAGCTGCTTCCTTGAGAACCCTAGCTGCATGAAGGTGTCGTAGCACAGTACGTTGACCGAGCTGCCCTTATTTACTAGCACCTGGTTCACGATCACGTCATTAATGTCTACCTTGATCACTGGGTGTCTAGTTGGGGAAAGGGGCCATCTCGTAGTTAAGTGTTGGTGAAGTTGATGGGATCCCTCCTCGGCCTCTTCTAGTGGGGGGGGGGGGGTGTCGCACGACCTCCCCTACATATAGGCTCCTAGCCCACTTCTTCCACTCCGCTGGCGTGTCTCCCCCCAAGCCCTCTGAAGATGACAGGGATGACCTGTTTCTTCTAGGGTTGGGGGTTTTCGAGCTCTCTCTCTCTTTCTCTCCGGTGAGCTGACCGAGCTCCCTCTTACGTGGTGCTGAGGTAGATAGCGTGGAGCCACCCACTTCTTCAACACGTTGCCTTGACTCTGGCCCTGGCCCTGTCTGAGTCTCTTCACAAATTGACCTAGGTAGCCTCTTTGAATGAGCTCTTCAATTTGATGTTTGAGGAGTATGCACTCATCCGTGTCGTGCCCCGCCTGCCGGTGGAACGTACAGTATTTGTTGGGGTCTACCTTCGGGGATATCTTCATGCACTCCCCTGGATACTCTACGATCCCTTAGCCCTCCGCGTGGTCTAGAATGGTGCTCACGGGCTATGTCAACGGTGTGAGGAAATGTGTGGGGGTCAACTTGGGCCCCTTTGCAAACTCGCGCCGAGGCGGCCTAGGAGCCCGGCGTTCCTCCTGAGGTGCCTTGTCTTTCCGAACCCTCCCATCCTCCTCCTCTATTTTCCTCTTCTCGGCGACCTCCGCGTCTGCACATCATGACGCTTGCTCCATCAAGTCGGTTTAGGTCTTGGGAGGGTATTGGAGGAGGTCTCAGTGAAAGGTGCCCGATCTCAGGTTGTTTTTGAACATTGGTATAGCCGCCTTCTCATCGAAGTTGGCGACCCCCATCGACTCCTTCTTCCACTTGTTGAGGAACTCGACAAGGGATTTTGAGCCCCTCTACTTCAGGTAGCACAATTCGATCAGCAAATTGCTTCTTCTTCTGCATAGTGCTCGCGAAGTATGACAAGAATTGCCTGGCGAGGATCGAGAATGTGGAGATGGACCCGAACTAGTCTTGTGCTTGGCCGTCTAGGGTCTAAAAGAACCCCTGGAACATGATACTGTTGGTGGCCCCAATCATCATCATGGCAACATAGTACCTGGTGAGGAGCGCCCGCAGGGGTCCGTTGCCACTGAGTACGCCTTGACGGTTGGAAAGCGGAAGTCTTTAGGTGTCCATCGGGTATATTGAAATCAGAGACAAGAATGATCTTTGAGACAAACCAACTACATTATATTTAACAAGACATAAAATAAAATGAAGAGTTATAACATTAGGTGCTCTGCATTGCATATTGGAGGAAAGAACAATACTAAATTGAGTGAAATTAACCATAACATATTTGTAAGGAAATATGTTGAACAAAGCAAAAGATAGAAAAAATGTTGCCGTAAAATCATAGTGACCACCGGAAAACTAACACATAAGGTCTAATACTCAGAACCCTAGGCACAAAATGTATCCCAATCACTTTATGCATGCTATTCGAAAATAGAATCGAAACAATGTATATTATGATTACATTTCTGTTTGAATAATCTATAGAAAAGAGTAAAAACCCTAGGTAGTCGAAAATATACTTCATGCACACCAATAATGTAATTTGTACACAAAGACATGCTATTTGAAAAGATAATCGAAACAATGAACATTATTCTTAAATTTATGCTTGAAACGAGTAAAAATTCTAGGTAATCGAAAATGTAGTTTATCAGTGTTGTTTGAATTCCTAATCGCAATGTGTGTTTAGAATGAGATTATTACCTTTAAGAAGCTCTTTTCTGTGCATCAATGGAGTCGGCAATAGTAGTCTTCCTTGTTGCAACACTACAGTTGAAGAAGAAGCAATGGAGAAGCCGAGAAGAAACTGTTTGCGTGAAGATTGTTAAGGTCAGTTCCTTTGTTTTATATTAAAAAACAAAAGACACAGGACGTGCATCAAGCTTTTAACGGCACCATCTCTCATTAAGTAGAGTGACATCGTCGTTATGGACCATGGTCCATACAATAATGTTTTTGTTTACTAACTTTGCTGCGTACG